AAAGAAAAACTACTTTAATGCTTGTATCTTGATATTTTACAAACCTTTCCAGATATAAAATAAAAACATAATTGCTGATAAAGATTTCTTGGCAAACATATTTTATCTACTATTAAAACATACCAACTATAAAATTCAGCCACATTTGTAAGCTATATATTCATTCATTCATTTTCTTGTCGGCTTAGTCCCTTTATTAATCTGGGGTCGTCACAACGGAATGAACCGCCAACTTATCCAGCAAGTTTTTTACACAGCAGATGCCCTTCCAGCCGCAACTCATCTTTGGGAAACATTCACATACACATTCACACACCCACTCATACACTATGGACAATTTAGCCTACCCAATTCACCTGTACCGCATGTCTTTGGACTGTGAGGGAAACCGGAGAACCCTGAGGAAACCCACGCGAACGCAGGGAGAACATGCAAACTCCACACAGAAATGCCAACTGAGCCAAGGATCGAACCAGCGACCCAGTGACCTTCGTGCTGTGAGGCAACAGCACTACCTATTGCGCCACTGCTTTGCCCTAAGCTATATATAACAAACAATAATGGTCAGGCTGTGAAGAAAACTGCTTTTAAAAAATGATTTACCAAATTGAGTGAATAATCTGACCTGGAGACAAGCGAAAAAAAAGGACACTGATGGTTGAAAGAGGGAACCTGATGCCCTGACATCCTTAACATCTTGTCAAACAGGTACTCACAATACAGTAAAAGCTTATTAAAACGTATCAAAAGTAATACATGACCAATAACCTCATATATAAACGTGTTTCTAAATCTAATCCAACATTCACATTTAGTATACCACACATATATTAGTCTAATATTTGTCATGCTTTTTCGATTAATTAACTTATTATTGCAATCTGTTAATGTCAAACGCATAATTGTACACGAACGTTAACATTTAAGTTGGGTCTTTACATTGAAAACTGGAATAACTAATTTGTGCATTTAGTTCCTTCTCCCCAGACCTAAAAATGGTTTAACATTTTGATATTTTCATTAATGAGTTACCTAAAAATGCAAGAATTCTGATTTTATTATCTTTATTATCTCTAAATAACTCGCATAAAGTCTTATCCGAGTCGGTGATTTAATGTTATCCTAGAGTCAATAACGCAGACGGATCAAATTGGCTTTTTCTGCCCTCTAGTGGTAATATCATACAGTTACGTAAACCTTAAATCATACTTTTAGAACACAGGTAGGGTTTTAACAAGACTTCTGCAAAAATGGCACAGGAAATGGCAATATAAACAGACATTTGCCACTTAAAACACATAAAATTGAAAGAATTAGTAAGGAAAACAAAATTTAAACAATGTCACTTCCACAAATACTGTACAATGTAACGTTCAGTAAACAAATTCACCCGAACTCAACATTCTGGCATCATACTCACCTGTCTGTCCAGTTTCTTCATTTGTCAAGGCGAGGAAGACTGCAGACAGTTCATAGTAATCCAGGTGAATGTTCTTTGGCGCCCACAAGTATGAAGAACCAACAGAAATGTAAATCGTGATTCATTTAATATCTGGCACAACTCTTAAATTCCTCCTCACGACTCGAGTCACGACTACGCATAGCCTATTTAATTTTACTGCTGTGTGAAAAGGGACTCGCCAGTGTGTATGCTTACTGTATTAAAAAAAAGAAAAGAAAGAAAGAAAGCCAAGTGAGCAGCAAGTACTAATGCGGTACTCAAGATCAGTTTCAGGTATCATGACTGCAGCCGTCCACGAGGCCGTGATAGTTAATTGCTCACGTGCACTACGTGACGTCACAGCATTTGAGAAAACGCAGTGAACTGATCCCTATTTGAGAAGCCCCTGTTAACTTTCTTATACTTGCTGGGAAATGTTACTTCACAAACAATGGTTCCCTTATCAAAAATCTATTTTTTATAGACCTTATGTGAAATAGAACATTTTAAATAACTCAGAATAATTGCTTATAGGAAACGTGCTGCTTTTTTGAGTAAAAATGATGAGCTCCTTAATGCTACTTGATTTTTTGTCTATCTTTTTAAAATTGCATTAATATTTCTGGGCTTTTTTTTTGGTTTTGCTCTTTATCCTATTTATATAATGTGACTATTGTGTAAAAGTACTGTTCTCTTTTACTGTATTCTTAGTTGTATTATACTGTCTCTTGGAATTAATAAATAAATAATATTATTTATTTATTAAAATAATAATAAATAAACTGATCCCTATTTGGGCATCATTAAGTCAAAGAAGATATGAAGAATTAAATGGGACTATTTATGATAGGGCCTACATGTTTTATCATTCCCTAGCTCCTCCATTTTAACCATTGTTTGATGTCAAAGAGAAGCGAGGTGTGACACTTTTATGAATTTCATCACCTTGTAATTATAAGGTTCTATCAGCGTTCTGAATGATTTTGAGGCATTGAGCTTTAAAGTTTTTGAATTCCATAGCAAACAATATGTGTGTAGATTAGCTTTTTAAAATAAAAAAGTCTTAAAATAGAAACAGCTTATAAAAAAACATCCCATAATGTAAATAAGTTGTCGTTATAAGAGTGTCAATAACTCAGATAGAACCTTATAATACTAAGGTGATGGTTTGTTGCCAACCGAACATGAACACATGGATACTGTAAATAATTAACCTTCACTGTAGTATAAGAATGCAATGTGTAAAAGTCTGAGGACATCTCATTTAAAAAAATGTTTGAATTCAAAAAGGTTTTCACCTTAATTTTTTTATTTATTTTTTTAATGTAGGGGGCGAAAAAATACAGCTCACAAAGATGTATTGAAAAATTTGGTTACGCTTAGCAAGATCAGTTCTACTGACAGGGTTAGAGAAAACATTTTTAACAAAAAAATTTAATTAATTTAGATATTTAGATATTAATTTTGAATTAACCTATAAATTTCCCCTGTCCACATCTGAAATATTTTCCAGTAAAAAAGTTTTGTCCAACCCTGAAATGTCTGGGCCCAGTTTTTCAAAAGTAATCCAGTGGGATTTTGGATCTGGGATTAGATCAAATTTTGGATGGATTTTGAATTAAGATCAGACTATGTTATCCAGTCTTACATTTGATTTGGGTCAAACCTGCTCTTTGGGTCATTCAAAACTTTGAACTTGTTTTTTATATTCAATATTTATTTCTTAATATGCAGCTAATTTTGCATTCTCAAAATTCTTTTGTTTACATCACTCAAAATGGTCTATAAATCCCTCCGTATTTGAGGCCTATATGAAGCATGTCACATCAAATGAGATATGGTAAATAATAACAAAAAAAAACTATATCAAAGCAATATTGTATTAGAACAAATTAAAAAGTGTAGAATGTTTGTTGATTGCATGCTTTTTCATACCATTAAAACAAACAATGGCTGTTTGTGGCCACTGGTATTTTGCCTACATGTTGTTCTTTGCTAATCAAGTAAGCTACACTAATGGTTTCATTTAAGGCTCTGTTAAACATCATTTGGTAATGATGAAATTTGGTATTTGGATCACAATGATCCCACCCAATGTCCCTTTAAAAAACAGTCATAAAGCACCTTATAACCTGTATCATTATACTCAACATTCAGATCTTTTTGACTAACTGCATCTCTGTTGACTGTTTATCGTCTTTTTTTTAACATTTATTTTTTGTTGTCACTTGTCACTTATGTACACTGGAAGCATCTGTAGCAAAACAAATTCCTGTGTGTGTGTGTGTGTGTGTGTTAAGCACACTTGGCAATAAAACTGTTTCTGATTCTGATTCTAAAAGGAAGTTAGATCAGGTAATCCTGAATAGCAAAATATGGATTTCTAAATCTGGACCAGTTTGATCCAGATTTCTTTTTTAAACTGGGCCCTGGATATACAGTTGAAGTTAGAATTATTAGCCCCCTTTTGATTTTTTTTTCTTTTTGATTTTTTTTTCTCCAAATTATGTTGCAGAGCAAGGACATTTTCACAGTATGTCTGATAATATTTTTTTCTTCTGAAGAAAGAAAATTATAAGCGCCTTTAAGCTATATATTTTTTCAATAGTCTACAGAACAAACCATCATTATACAAAAACTTGCCTAATTACCCTAACCTGCCTAGTTAACCTAAATAACCTAGTTTAGCCTTTAAATGTCACTTTAAGCTGTATAGAAGTGTCTTAAAAAATATCTAGTCAAATATTATTTACTGTCATCATGGCAAAGATAAAATAAATCAGTTATTAGAAAAAATCAGTTATTATGAGTTATTAAAACTATTATGTCAAGAAATGTGTTAAAAATATCAAAATTTGAAAAAATAATAATTTAGGGGGACTAACAATTCTAACTTCATCTGTATATATATCATCAGATATATATATATACATACATACAGTTGAAGCCAGAATTATTAGCCCCCCTGAATTATTAGTGCCTCTGTTTATTTTTTTCTCCAATTTATGTTTAATGGAGGGAAGATTGTTTCAGCACATTTCTAAGCATAATAGTTTTAAAAAACTATTTCTAATAAGTGATTTATTTTATCTTTGCCATGATGACAGTGTTTTTTAAGACACTTCTATACAGCTTAAAGTGACATTTAAAGGCTTAACTAGGTCAATAAGGTGAACTAGGCAGGTTAGGGTAATTAGGCAAGTTATTCTATAACGGTGGTTTGTTCTGTAGACTATCGAAAAAAATTAACATAAAGGGGCTAATAATTTTGACCCAAAAATAGTTTTTACAAATTTAAAAACTGCTTTTATTCTAGCCAAAATAAAACAAATAAGACTTTTTCTAGAAGAAAAAATATTATCAGACATACTGTGAAAATTTCCTTGCTCTGTCAAACATCATTTGGGAAATATTTAAAAAAGAAAAAAAAATCAAAAGGGGGCTAATAATTCTGACTTTAACTGTATATATACATCAGTTTCAAGTGTGACCTTGAATGGGATTGACTCCTTTTCTTGCTAAATTGGTACATTTACAATAACAGATTGCAGCATGAAAATTATATTACAGATTTTATTCACCCAGTACAAAGTCCAAGATGGGTTTTGTGCTCCATGTCCACAATTCCTTTATATATATATATATATATATATATATATATATATATATATATATATATATATATATATATATATTGAACAGAGTTCCATGTCTGACAGACTTATAATCTTACAAACACGTTTTCTTATTTGTTGTTTTTTTTCCAAGTATTTCTATGTTGACTACTGCCATTTCTGTTTCTGCTTTCCTTTTTGTTTAAACACGCTCCAGCTCATTCAAACCAATACATTAAATAAAGTGTCTATCAGTGGTTACTGTAACCAATACTCTCACAGTATCAAAGTGCAATAATGAAAGTGTCCAGCACTAAATAACCAAAGGGGAAAGCAAAAATAAAGTCAGTGGTATTACTATATAGAAATAGCTTCCTTTAATTTAAAACCTGGCCCAAGGTGATACCAGCCACCAAGCATCGGCCTTGCAAATCTAAGAGTTTAATTCGTGTCACTTTTATCTATTACAATAATGTCTGTTCATTCCTTCTTCCCCAGGGCTACGTCCACAGAAAAGCAGGGTCCTTTAACACCTGGGCCAGACGCTGGTTAAAAGGCTTGTAAAAGCTCTGCAGGATCTCCTTGGTTATGGGTAGCATTGGGCCAAGATTTCGATTAGCTGGTCGTCTGGTGTTGGAGGCGGGGCTTTTCGTGATGTCTGCCTCCTTCTGCAGAGTTAGTGGTCCTGTAGAGTCAGTGAAATGCAAACACATGGTCAGTGATTTATCTGCTTATAATGACACATTTCGTCACCTTGGAATAAGAAGGTTCTATCTGCATTGTAAATGATTTTAAGATAATGAGCTTCAAAGTTTAGCATTCCATTCAGCAAACAATATGTGTCTTTAATACATTAACATGACAAACATGACAATAAAAGACCCTAAATGTAAATCAAAATTCTCTTAAATTTGTAAATTGGAGTGAAAAAACAGGGTAAATGCAGATACACCCTTCTAATTCTAAAAAGCCACTTTCTGCTTGGGATTATAAGGTTCTATCTGGCAAATCATTCATTAAAGAATTACTATTCAAGAAATACAATCAAAAAAAAAAAAAAAAAAAAATTGGTGTTGTAACAATATGTTGATGCTTGTGAAAGCAAAATTTTTGCTTTCTATACCATTTATTTAATGTTTTACGATTCATATTTTTCTTGTTCAAAGGCTGTGCTAAATATTTTGTCCAGTGCAGCTGTTCATTTTATGTAAACAATATGGTCATATTTATTGAATTGTATGCTTTATATTAACTATTAAATTTTATTTATTGAATTATATGTCCTTTTCCAGAGATGGGTTGCGTCTGGAAGGGCATCCGCTGCGTAAAAACTTGCTGGATAAGTTGGCAGTTCATTCCGCTGTGGCAAACCCGTATAAAGGCGACAAGAAAATGAATGAATTATATGTCCTATAATTTAAATTAAGTACTTGCCTTTCAAGGCTTAAAATTGAATTTAAAGAAAACAGACAATGAGCAAATTAGTTTACTGACTACATATACACAAATAAAAATGTCACATTTAATATATAACATTTTTAAAATTACTTTAAATGTTTAATATAAACTGTTTTTTTTTTCAACAATTTAAAATTTTTATTTTGTCTCAATGTCAAAAAATGCTTCTAAATCATCACATTTACACACATATTTTCAGTTTCAGGTTTCTCCTCAATTTTGTGTCGTGCGGCATTATTTAGTCGACTTTGATTTTGCGTTTCTTTCTGGTCTTTCCTGCTGTCAACAGAGCAGTCCGGTGAAATGACAAAGAAAGCTGCATGCATTTGAAATGCTGATAGGCTCACAGAAAGAACCTTATAGAGCCAAGCTAGAGTTCGACTTTGTAGATAAAACCTGTTTTGTTTTTTAAATTAAACGTCTTCAAATGTCAACAACTTATAAAAAACATCAAATAATGTAAATAAGTTGTCATTTAATAAGATTATTTGAAAAACTCAACTTTAAGGTAAGGTTTATGTTACAAGCAGACATACACAAATTAACATAACATGTATGTTGAGGCATGAAAATGAACTCACCCAACTGCAGAAATTCAAAGACTCTCCGCATAGTGATTTTCCGGTTGGCAGCGTGATCTTCCAGTCGTAGGATGAGTATCTGCTCTCTGCTGAACACACTCAGCCAATCCAGCAAGTACATGACATACAGTCCCACCTGAAGCCTTACCTACAAAAAACAAAAACAGATCATTTAATTCTTTACTCTGAAAACTGGACTGACAGTTTCAATCTACTGGAACTTCTATGGTAAGCTGACTGACACAATCTACATAGCAAAAGTGCTGTAAAAACAAACATGAACTGAATTGAATAATTCCTGCTGCTCATTGAAAAGCAATAGAGTATAGAAATATTAATGAAAAAGCAAAACAAAATCACTTTTGATCCATGAATGCACCTCTAAGTTAGTGTATGTCAGGTGTGCATAAAACCCGGTCCTGGAGGGCTGGTGTCCTGCAAAGTTTAGATGCAGCCCTAATGAGACAATCAGGCTAGCTAATCGAGCTCTTACTAGGCTTTCTAAAACACCTTTGCAGGTGTGTTGAGGCAAGTTGGAGCTAAAATCTGCAGGACACCGGCCTTCCAAGACTGAGTTTGGACACCCCTGGTTTATGCAATCTCGCACTCTGACACGTATGAGTGCTGTCATGAATATTTGAGCAAAGCATTTTCTCATAAGATAAGGGTATGAACTTAATTATGACAAAACCCATCATCAATTACTGTAAGCTTTTGCTTTTTAACTTTGTTTAACTTTGAAAGTTTGCTGAGGCCTTGTGGCACCTTGTCTCCCACTTGAGAACCACTTCATTAATTAAAGGGATTGTTCAACCAAAATGAAAATTGTCACCATCTACTCACTCTTCCCTTTTTCCAAATCTGTTTGAATTTCTTTCTTATCTTACAAATGAATACATTTTGGAGAATGTTGGAAACTGAGAGCTATTGACTTTCTCGATTTTCAACATTCTTCTAAACATTTTCTTTTTCATTTTACAGGGTAAAAAATAATTAGTATTGGAGCCACCTGAGGGTGAGTAAATGATGTGTACATTTTCATTTTTGAGAAAACCCCTTCACAATTATTTTTAAAAGGATTGCATTTATTTCATTTTTTTCACCAACAGAGGGACCCAAAGGTTCAGTACAGCATATTGCAGCGAGACAATCTTTCATGGTTTCAGTTCTAGAATAGAATTTTATTCACTGCTATATCATATTGTAGTGTAGTTACAGTATACTTTTAATTTAATTTAATTTAATTTAATTTAAATTTTAATTTGAGTTCCTAACACAAATGTTTGTTATACGTTTTAAAAAATTTTTGAGTCGTCTAAACTTGAATCCAACCAAATTTAATAGATATTCTGAATTAAAGGGATATTCATTCATTTATTCATTCATTTTCTTTTCAGCTTAGTTACTTTATAAATCCAAGGTCACCACAGCAGAATGAACCGTCAACTTATCCAGCACGTTTTACACAGCGGATGCTTTTCCAGCTGCAACCCATCTCTGGGAAACATTCATTAACACTTATTCACACTCCTACACAGGGACAATTTAGCCTAACCAATTTCCCTGTACCGCGTGTCTTTGGACTGTGGGGGAAATCAGAGCACCCGGAGGAAACCCACGCGAACGCAGGGAGAACATGCAAACTCCACACAGAAGTGCCAACTGACCCAGCCGAGGCTTGAACCAGCGATCTCATTGCTGTGAGATGAAAGCACTACCCACTGCGCCACCGAATTAAAGAAATAGTTCACCCAAAAATACAAATGTGGCTTTCTTCTTATAAACATAAAAAAAGATATTTTGAAGAATGTTGGTAGCTGGTCACCACTGACTGTCATAGCAAATGCTGTGAGAGTCAATGGGTAATGGTTTTCATCATTCTTCAAAATATCTTCTTTTGTGTTCAACAGATTAAAAACGAAACTCAAGCATCTTTGTGATAAGGTAAAGGTGAGTAAATGATGTTGATCCTTAAAGATCCTGTGAAGTGCTTTGAAATGTGATTTTTTTTTTAATTTGATGTAATCTCAACAGAAATTAAGAGAGTGTGAGACAATTTGCTCCTTTCAAATATACAAACTTTTCCAGAAAATTTTCCGTAACGAGATCATGTGTGAACACCCTTTTTGAAAATACTGATAAATTTGTTATGGCAATTTTCCTAAAAAAGAAGTTGAAACATTACCGGTAATTTGCTAAAATGCTGATCTTTATGAATGCAAAGTGAAAATTGCCAGAAGGAGCACGTTCTAAACATTCTAAAAATGTTAACTCCAGCCAATCTGAACATTCAGAATCATCCACATCCGCGCTGTTTATGACAAGCCTTTGAATACTTTTTCTAGATACATTTAGCTGCTAGATGTTAGTCAGATAATGTTTCTATGTTCATTACAAATGCCAACTGTGGAAAAACATTTTATCACTGATAAAATGTTTACGATAAATCACAGCGAGTTTACCTACAAGCCCTGCATGTGGCGCTCGTGCACGAGAAGGGTCGCTCCGATGAGTGCTAGCACACAAACAAACATACATCTCGCCATGCGAAATGTTCTTGTATATGTTTACATCAAAGTTGTTCTCATTACTTATCCATCCAAAGAATTTGTAATGTAATCAAATCTGTAAGCCTGCCTTTGGACATCTCTGTGACAAAAGCATCTCCATGAATAACCAAGCTTTATATAAAAGTGAAACGATCAACAAAAGTCTGACCTCTATTATGCCCCATTCACACGGGGCGTCAGCTACAACGCTTCCCTTTCACTTTGAATGGGTGGCGTCAGGCGTAGCCGAACTGCATTGTGGATCCGTCGACACTGCTTCAGAGGCGTTGCTCTTGCAAAAGTTGGGACTTTCTCAGATCGCTGTATGCAAATACACCAGCTCAGACAGTGGCCTATTGCTGACTAATTTCATTGGCTGACGCTGCTCTGACGATCGCGTCAGCCCCAACTTCAGACTCTGTCAAGTGTTGATGCTGAAGTCCCGTGTGAATGGGGCGGTATGTTTACAAATACAAACACAGCCATTTAGAGGTCATTTATGGTTAATGATGTCAGAATTTACCAGTGTTTTGGAATTGATGTTTGAACGGTCTTTTCCGGAAAAATTTCAGAACATCCTCGTGTGAGTGAATTTACCAGTAAAATTGTTCCGGAAATTTTCTGGATATTTAGTATATTGAGTAGCTCTCCCCCTTTAAAAAAACAGCCAAGAGCATTTTGTTTTATCACAGCACTGTCAGTGAGAACGGTTGAGCTTAAGCAAATCAAATAAAAAGCAAAAGAGAAGTGTCTGAAGGGGGCAGGGCAATTCAGATACTAGACTTGATTGGTCAAGATTTGATGAGAAACTGAAGTGTTAGATAAAAAATAAACTGTTAATCCATTTAGCTTTGGCTGTTTATATCAGCTTTAAATCTTCTATACGCAGATTTTCTCATAGTTTTTGAGCACACTAGCTTATAGATGTCCTTAAAACTAACATACTGATGCTAACATCTAAAATAAACTTTATTTTAATTTCACAGGACCTTTAAGTTCTGCATGGTGCACAAGTCTTTGTTTGTATTATATTACATCCAATTTACCAGACTAAGCAGCAATGACTCAGCAGCCAAGAGTTTTGCAGGTTCATCAACCAGCTTAACCAGCATCATAAATCATTCATGACTTGATCCCCAGATCAGTGCCGCAAAACAATGTACTTTTCACAGCACATTTAGAATTCTCCAAAACTGCTTTGATTTCAGCTTCCAGCAGCTTTCTCCAGAGGTGAGGAGAGGATCATCTACTGGCTGCACAGCTTTGGGGAACAGCCAGAACAGCTCATCCCCTGGTGGGTTTATCTTATCTCGGTGCCTGCACCTGGTGGCTGAACCAATTACATCATATCAGACTGAGCAAAATCTGACTCTGACTCCCACCGGCCGCCTTCGGTGGCCGTTTCTAATGAGAATTACCAACGGCGATGATTTGGTAAGAAATATCTATCGGAAGATCTGATAACATATGAGTGAACCGAAGGAATAGTTTTTGACTGACCTCTCGTTTAAGTTTGACAGAATTTTCATTTTCGTCTGAACTGTCCCTTTAAGACAGCTATAGCAAATTAAACATGTGCATTGGAGAGATGATGGGGATTGATTTTGCACTCACAGGCATCAGGTTGTTGAGAGTGGTGTTATAAATGCAGGAACGGATAGACCTCTCGGCCAAACAGCCCTCAAACATGTGCAAGGACTCTGATACTCGCTCGTGAAAATCCTCCACCGATTTATTAGCCATGCCAAAGTACAGATAGTCCGAGTAAAGCCTGCTCTCTCAAACACAAACACACACAAACAAAGTGCACAAACACAACAGGAGGTAAGAAAACAATCTAAACATCTCTTACACAGCACTCTATTATTGTTAGCCATAAATCATCATTATATCTTATTTTAAAGGTGAAGTATTACCTCTCGACTGGGTCTCGGAGCATTACGATGAATTTGGCATCTGGTTGGACAGCATGAATAAAATCTTGCACCAGAAAAGGAGGCTCAACCTCTGTGCCATTGTCGTAGAAATAAACCCAAGCGTTGTTGTCCCACATTGTGGATGCGCTGGCTTCACCTGTCAATCAAAGGATGTGTGCGGTTATTAGTAAAATATTACAGTCCCACTTTTTGGGGGATTTTTTGTTTGAACACAGGGCTAATCTGATGAATGGTAGTAGTGATTATATTTGACTGGGTTCTTTCGAGCTGATTTAATTCCTCAGGTCTCAGCAGACTAAGAATGAAATTTCTATTATTATTTTAATACCTCTAGTGTAAGAAAGGACAGACCTTGACCACAGCATCTGGCACCTCTAATGAGAAAGTCTGTGTTTCTAGACAATAGGAATTTAATTGGAGCTCTTTCATCATAATAATGTATAGTACCTTATAAATAAGGGTTTCTGATCTTGAGTTTTGTGAACTCTGATGTTTTTGAATTGATAAAATGCTAATAATAAGGTAATTATAAGGTAATTTTAAAATGAACATGTTTTAAAATGATATATTTTTGTATATTAGTTTACCTGCATGTCATGGGACTTTACATTTTAAAAAATCCATAAATAAGCAGTTTTCTGTATTTTGTGATTCATGTTTTATTTTTGTTTTATTTTTCCGTGTTTATTTATGCTTTTGAATTGGATTATAGGCCCGTGATCTTTCTTCCAACAACTTTTAAATCTGAAATATTGGAAAAAGTGACTTTAAAGTGGTATATTGTCTGGGTTGGTGTTGCAATATTATGCTGCAAAAACCAAACTGCCAGTACATTTTATGTTGTTTTACAGACTTGTTTCTCTATTTCATAAAATATGAAAACTGGTAATAAAATATATTTTTTTACAGTATAGACTGCATTAGTGCTTACAATTTTTCACCATTAAGCATTGCAAATGATGCAATCAAATTAAGAACAAAGGAGTTGTTGGTTGTCTCTGTACAAACAATATATACGAGGTTTATTTGAATACAAACATAAGTATAAATATTGAAGCACTTCAATAGCGTAGGCAGGCCAGCTTTCAGTATTCACAGTATTTCAAGGGAGTTGGCAGAGTTACATGTATCATTTGGCAAACTTTTGCTCATTGCGACTCTGACTGGTAGAATTATTACAGAATCATGGGTAATGCTGTTTTTCTACATTCATTCCATTATTAGACACAACTGCGTATATGTTTAATTCATGCAAACAGAAGCAAATAAAACCTCAAGTGTTTAAAACATCTGAATGGATTTTTTACTTCTGGAACCTGACTGTTGCGTTTTATTAACAGACATCAGAAAACTGGATATTGGCCAATGTGTTATTAAATTATTGAAATGATCATTTTAAAATCCTGGAGGGGTGCTTAAATATTTTAGGCGGTGTGTAAATATTTTAGGACAAAGTCAGCAGAATAAAAAACTACAGGAATCTACACATCAAGGTTATTTTAGTAAATGAAAAGTATCTGAAATAAAATCTAAATTTCACAATAAATGAAAAACTAAAACTAAACAAAAGCAACAATTACAATAAAAATGACTCAAAATAAAAATGAGCAAAAACGTAAGATTTTCTGAAACAGTTTTCAGAATTAATATTCACTGATTCTGTGGTAGAAAATCTGTGGTTGTCAGGGAAACACCTGTAGATGGAGCTTCTTGCACATCAGACACGACAGCCAAAGACAATGTTCATGTGCAAAAAACACATTTTCTGTATAAACACAAAACATCTAATCTATTTTATTCTTTGTCTGCCAAAATGTAAACTGGGCTTATTGAACTATATATATATATATCATCTTTAATGACAAATTATTAAAATTATAAAGGAAAAGTTCAGATGCTTTTCCAGTATTGGGTTGCGGCTGGAGGGGCATCCACAGCGTAAAACATATGCCATAATAAATGGCGGTTTATTCTGCTTTGGTGACCTCTGAAATAGAGACTAAGCTGAAGGAAAATGAATGAATGAATGAATGAATGATTAAGTTAAGATGCTCTAAACTCTAAGTGCCATTTGAAATTTTCTTCTAAAACTATCTTTATTTACTCCTATGTTTATGCTTAGTTATTTCACTTTATTAAAACCAATGCCAAGATCCTATTCTGTGCCATAAACGTGAAATTAATAAAACTATATATATATATATATATATATATATATATATATATATATATATATATATATATATATATATATATATATAATGCCCCCCCCCCCCTTTTTTTTTTCTTTTTTTTTTTACATATATAATATTTTTTTCTTCTGGAGAAAGTATTTTTTTTCCACCTAGAATAAAAGCAGTTTCAAATTTTTTAAAAAACATTTTAAGGTCAAAATTGTTAGCCCTTTTAAAGCTATATTTTATTTCAATAGTCTACAAAACAAACCATCGTTATACAATAAATTGCCTAATTACCCTAACGTGCCTAATTAACCTAGATGAGCCTTTAAATGTCACTTTAAGCTGTACAAAAGTGTCTTGAAAAATATCTAGTGAAATATTAAGTATTTTTATCATGGCAAAGATAAAATAAATTAGTTATTAAAACGATTATGTTTAGAAATGTGTTGAAAAAATCTCTCCTTTAAGCAGAAATTGGGGAAATAATAAATTCAGTGGGACTAATAATTCTGGCTTCAACTGTATGTTTTTAGTTAATTGTAAGTTATTAAATGAAGTTAATCATGTTCTAACCTCATTTTATAAGTTACACGAGCTGCTTTAAGTCACTTTAATATATTGTAAGTTCAAAAGACTTAAAAGGTTAATTAGATTCAGCTCAAAAATTTAAGGCAACCAGTATTTTTTTACACAGTACACTAGAAATGTTCTGAAAACTAAACTAAACAGATAATAACTACATTAAAATGCATTCATAAAATAAAAACTTAACATAAATGAACAAAACCATCAATAAAACAAACAAAAACTAAATAATGTTAGTAATATTAATAATAGTTTTGAAAAATATATATATAAAAAGCAAAACTAGAATAACCATGCAACACATCACTGGTGTGGCTTTCCTTAATAAGACTGAAAAGCAATACAAATTACCAATTATGATGTCAACTTGTTTGTGCCTTTTGGAGGAATTGCTGATCAGCTGATCTTGAATGTGATTGGCTGCTTGGTCAAACAGGTCCAGGTAGTCCTTTAGTGGATAGGGGCTATTAAAACCATTGCTCAACCTGATGATACCTTAAAACCAGGAGAGAACAAACTGTGATTATTTCAGTTGTAAAAAAGCTTCCAAACAGAATTACAAGGCAGTTGCTCTGTTGCGGTGAAATGTGTGTAACAAACTGAATGCGATAAAACTCAATGATCTGTCTACCATTAACCAGATGCTCCGCTTTGCATGAAAATAGGAGAGATGATAGGGAACATTTTGCTGACTTTCTAAAGAAGACCAGTCAAAATGAAAAACTCAGCATATCTCTTATGTGAACTCACCAAACCTCTTCCGTGTCCACCAGTGTGGTTCCTTCATAGTGGTGAAATGGACCTCTGGATGCAATCGTAACCGGTCGTAGAGGTCTGTGGTGCCACACTTGGGTTGACCGATGATATAGAAGAAGGGCAGACAGCGCAGTCGATACTGTCTACCTGCATGTTGATGCAGATGAGCTGGGAATGCTCTGCGCAGGTGGTCATATATTGCTTGGAAGCGCTTGGAATAAAGAGCATACAGGTTTTTTCCATATGGATCAGCTGTGAGATTCCCAAAGAATTCTTCATACCAGCAAGGATTCTTGAGATAGGGAAGAAATTTGCGAGGAATTGCAGAGAATATCTGTTGATAAGGAAGATTGGAAAGATTATAATAGGCATATATTCATTTAGCAGACACTTTTATCCAAAGCAACTTATAAATGAGGATCAACAAAGCACTCAGTATCGCCATTGTGATATAGACTTAGAGTATAGATGCTAAATGTTTTCATATGATGTTGTATATAATGTATGTTATTCACAGGTATGTATATTTATTTGCACTACAATTTAGCAGTGTGTGGTCAGTGAGTTTTTTTCTTTTTCTTCTTTTATTAAACAAGGATGCGTTAAGCTGATCGATAGAGACAGTATCCACATTTCAAGAGTTCACAATAGGCTATATTCATACAGACTTTTAATTTTAGTCAGCCAGCCCCAGGGCATCTGGTTAATTGCCATCCATCCATACAAAATTGCTGCGTTTAAGATCTGATTTCTTAAAAAAAAAAATAAATAAAATAAAAAACAGCGATCATTTATGCCTGGCTGAAATACAATATAAGGTGGGTCTCAGACCAAACAAGAAGCCCTGCATTAAATTATATTTTTTCCGTGCCATGTCTTTAAAATATGGAAATTAATTTAACCCAGTAAAGCCTGCTAAGTTAGCAGTTCATTCCATGGGGCGACCCCTGATTAATAAAGGGACTAAGCCGAAAAAAAAAATGAATAAATGAATGAATAATTGAATGAATGAATGAATGAATGAATGAATAAACTTCACTTAAAATGTTATAAAAGTTATTATTTTTCAAATGCTGTTTTCTATCAGCATTCATTAAATAATCATAACAGATGCATAATGGTTTCCAACATTGTTTTTTTTACACTGATATTAATAATGCACTGATAGTAAATACAGTACTGTATTAAAACACCAGTGGTGCATGAGGATACACTTAAGTCTTAAAGCAGAATAAACGAAAATAGTATTCAAAGGATCCCTAATATTTATTTTGTTGCCAAAACCTACCATGTGATTAATTTAGTTCATTCAATTGGGCATTTGTTTAGTTCGCCTGTTATATGCAGTTTTTTAATTACTCTTAAAGTGTTTTTAATGTTCATCAAACAATATAAATTAGATTAGTCAGTACTAAAGCCAAATCTGGAGCTTATCTAACAAAATAACTTACGATAATGGTCCAAAAACTAGTATAGCCAAATTTATATGTTATAGGAAAATATTAAATACAAATTTTAAAAGAAGGAAAAATCAAGAGAAGCGAAAATAATGGAAAAATATACTTGAAATCTTGTAGGTTGTAATTTTGGTTTATGCAACATTCAGCTTGAATTCAATTGTATTATCTTTTAATTTCTAAATATGTTTGGTGACTAAAATATTGTTTTAATAAATATATAATAAATCAGTTTTGTTTAAATTCAAAATTTTTGATAGTCAAAACATGTTCAAAAAATGTATATAATAACAATAAATTTTATTTATATTGCGCTTTTCTCAAACTCAAAGCGCTAACAAGAGCATCAAAACACAGTAGAACATGAAATACACAAAAAATAAGAATGATAATAATAATAAAATATACAAATTAAAAGAAAGCCTCATAAGTTATAAGCGATAATAAAAAGATAAGTTTTACGAATTTTCAAGTCCAGGTAACTGGCATTCCTGACATTTGTGGGGAGAGCATTCCACAATTTAGGTGCACGATAAGAGAATGCTCTACCTCCCATGTTGCAAAGTTTCTAACAAGGCTGCAATGAATGCATATATAAGTTATATATTAAAAAACAATCAGGAAAAAGTGTTTTATGTAAATTTGGGCCACGAGTCCATATGGACATAATTTTTCTCTAAAAGTACATCATATCAAAAGATGATACTTAGGTTTTATAATCATCTAATCATGTTCCAATAAGCCCGAATAGCAAAGAGAAATAAAAATGCATGTAAAAAACAGCTTGGGTCTTAAGAGGTTATATATATTGCATTTTTAGATGACATCATTTTCTTTATTGTTAAACAAAATAAATATTATTAGCAATGTAACTGAAATGCACATACATTTGGCTCTTTCTCTCTCACTTCTCCCATGTCAGGCACTCGTCTACGGCTGAAATCCACTTTGGTCACAATGCTCTTCACCACTTCCCTCACAACAGCATAGTTTGTAGTGGAGGACAGATTGAGCTGTACCTGATGAGAAACTACAGTAAAGTGATACGGTGACGGTGTTAAAAAGAGCCCTTTCTGGTCCCTCGTCAAGATGTAGGATGCCATGATAAGAACAGTAACCATGAGTCCAAAAAGGAAGCTAAAGATTTTGATTTTCCGCACAGACGCGAGTGTCCACAAACCCCATACTTGATTCTGTGCTCTATTATTCTCTATAGAAGTCAATACACCCGTCCACCTGTCTCTCGTTTGCTTATTTCTGCAGTACTCCAGCTTTTCATAAGGACAGCTTAGGAGGCCATACTTGTGGTCCATTTTTGTTTATTTTACATTAGCTTCTTCGCATATGAAGTGAATCCCAGCGATGTGAGCTATTGCATGATATTTGCTCCATTACGAAGCACAGCATAACCCAAAAGAGCAATGTTTTGCCAATGCAATCAACATCCTTCATGCAGCAGATGCCATTTGGCTTCAGGTCATTGTTTATGATGGGATGTTTGTGGGCAGGAAGACAGACAGTGGAATGAGCAGGGCGTCCCGCGCTTGTGGTGAGGGGCAAGGCGTGTGGGAGACGATTAGAGTGCTCCTTCAATTTAGCTGCCACAAATGACACAGCGGTTGATGGCGTTCCAGCGCAAACACACTCCAGATTCGGTTGTCAAGGTCACAAATGCCCCAACAGCAGCTCAGATAACAGAAAGGTCTATTCCTGCAAGACACACACACAAAAAGAGCAATCATAAATACACATTGATGGTTCATTGATTTGAGTCTAGGAGGCAGCGGATGCTGGTAATACTCTCTCACGCATGCCAATAACTCTGTGACTGGGTTTGGATAAGCATCAGAGAAAGGATGGCAGGAAGATCACACAGGCCACAGACTGTGTGGCATATGGTGTGTGTGTGTGTGTGTGTGTGTGTGTTGGTATGCACAGTGATTGTGTGTTATGTGTGTTTTGGAGAGTTAAGGCCGTAATCTATTTAGACATGATAGCCTGAGGACATGGTTAATTAAGAACACAGTAGAGCAGCTAATGGATACATTTTTTATTTGACAACCTCCACTCCCTCTGTCGGTCGCACTCTCTTTGTCTTTCTTTGATTCTTGGCAATGATGCAAGAAAGGGTTGTGATTTTAAAGCAGAAATTAGAGAAAAAGATCAATGATAGAAACAACTGGGGTGGAAAGGGAAATGCACAGTGAAAGTTATTAGAGGTTTGATGAGGTCTGACCCGGTCTGAATGTACCAAATGAGGATAAAAACAAAAGGGTGGCTGTAAGAGAGTGCAACATTTGCCACCTCTCACATTATCATATATTAAAATATGCTAACTGTTATTTTATTTAATGACAAGCAAGCTGATATCAACCATGTACTTTATATCATTCACTTTTCCCCCAAAAAATAAGCATACACTACAGGTAAAAAGTTTGCGGTCAGTAGGATTTTTAAATGTTTTAAAATAAGCTTTTCCTGCTCACCAAGGCTGCATTTTTTCATCAAAATACAGTAAAAAATTGTAAAATGTTATTCCACTATATGACAACTTCATCTATCAGCTTCTCATTAAATATTCTAACCAATCAAAAGCTAGTCTAGTATCTTAAGTGATCCCGCCCCCTACAATACAAGACTGAAATAAGTCACCTTTTCAGCTGAAATTCCATTGGCTAGTTTTAAAAAAAGAGGAGGGGCTATATGCCCCACCCATACCTGTCAACCCTCCCGTTTTTCCCGGGATTCCCCAGAAATCACTCTAATATTAATTAATATTTTTTATTATTATTAATGTAATTATTATTAATGGTATTAGCAATAAAAGCAATAATGACTGGAGTAATATCTATTTTTCGCTTTGATGAACAGATTTCATAAAAAAAAAAACATAATATAACTGACCCCTAAATTTTGACCAGTAGTGTAGGTGCGTCCCAAATAGCATATACTTCTGCACTATTCTACGCCATTTTGTAGTATAAATAGCATAAGTGGTGCATTCACACTGAAATTCTAAATAGAAAAAGTGTACTTTAAATATCCAGATGATACACTTAATAAATCATTGAAATGAAGTGTGGAATGTTGGACACTTCAAGCACTCAACAGCTGCTGCTTTGCTCATGTAGAAGAAGGGGTGGAGCTACTTTATTTATTTTGTATTGTGAAAGCAAAATTCTCCTATAGAGTTATTATACAGCCTTCCGATGGTGAATGCAGGTATCATGGCAGGTATTATTTGGTAGTTTGGTCATTTATTTAACTTATTTGGCAACCGCTAAACAGCATCAGGGAAACACTTTGAATTTCCGCTTAGTAAAAAAACATTAGTGTTCCATTTGGAATGACACTACATACATATACTATGCTGCTGAGTGTGTAAGTGCATAAGTACATAGTGCGTAAGAGCAGAGTGTATAGTGTGCCACTTGGGACGCAGCTTTAGTGATCCATTTGGGACGACACTACATACATATAATGCTGCTGAGTGTGTAGAAGCATAAATGTATAGTGTGCCATTTGGGACGCAGTTCATGTCTTTTGAGTCCGAATAGCATGCGCTGTGTTGTGCAGCAATTGGGATGCATAGAATAACCCTTTAATTCAAGTTATGGAAGCAAGAAATAAACGTATCCCTCATACAACAGAGCATTTCTTCTCTACACAAGCCTAAAAGCTGAATACACAGGGTTGGGAAATCTAAAGCAGAGCTTTTCAAAAGCCTAACAAACCAATTGGTCTGTCTTGTTTTGGTTTCTTGCCTTTATTATATCAAATGAAAGGGTCTGCATGATCCTCTGGTGGAGGGTTTACCTTCATCATTTCACCAGACGGATCAGTGCTGTTATTTACCGCCTAATTGTGGTTAAATTTACCTTGGGGAGATCATTACCAGAAATGCGACTCTCCCAAAGCCCACACAGACCACAGTAATCCATGCTGAACTAATAAATAGATGTGGGGCTCATAAATTATAGATAATTTCCTATTTGTGCATGAAAATAAATGGTTTGTATAATGCTGAGAGAGAGACTGAGAGATTAATGAAAGAAAAAGAGAGCGAAGGTAGTCAAAGGAGGACATGTGTGTTCCCATGGAGATGAAGGCAGGTGTCATTGATCTGTGTTGCTATGGAAAATAGACTCTGGGAGTGTTTGTATGTGTACGCTGACCTTAAAGTCCCCCTGAAATCCAAATTCAGGTTTAACCACCTTAGTGTTATCAATGAGCTATTTTGCTTTAAAACTTTGATTAAATGTGCATTTAGAAGATATAAGCATTTAAAACGTGTATTTTTGAACAATTTTTATGACAACTTCATCTATCAGCTTCTCATTAAATATTCTAACCAATCAAAAGCTGACTAGTATCTTAAGTGATCCCGCCCTCTACAATAAAAGACTGAAAAAAGTCATTTTTTCAGCTTAATGAAACTCCATTGGCTAGTTTTAAAAAAGAGGAGGGGCTATATGCCCCACCCATCAACCCTCCTGTTTTTCCCGGGATTCTCCTGTCCTGCTATCATCCCGTAAAGGTATTTTAACGCATTTCTCCATTTTTTCAATATTTCTATGAAGGGTGGCAATAAACATTGAAAAGCTGATCTTCCCTACACTTAACCCATACCGCCGAACCACTAGGGGACACCCCTTTTTCTTAAATGTGAAATTATTCAGTGCTTTCATTTTATTTAAGCATGAAAACACTTTGAAATAAATATAAAAATGGCAAGATTCCCTTTCCTTTCCATTACAGGCGCCGTATCCTTAAAATAAAACTGTCAGATGCCGTTTCCCAAATGCACAAGTCATTTGAAGCGGAGCAAAAGTGGAAACGTGCATTTTTGAACAGACATATGCACATAATAATATTATTAATAATAACAACATCTAAACATGTCGATCTTGGTAGGTTTTCTGTTAAACACAACAAATTTTGTCTTAAAAGAGCATAAACAGTTAAAAAAAAAATCGAATGCTTTCATAATGGATCCATGCACTTTTAAAGTGACAACTCTGTTATTAAATGTAATCAAGTGTAATGTAGGCCAGCTAGTGCAGTGCTATGCAAGTAAACCTTACTCCTCTGACCTCTAAATGTGCTCTTGCGACAGAGCCTAGAGGCCATGGTCTTTAGACTCCTTGTTAGAGCAACCGACTCTTATACAAAGAATCGCTGGTTTGATCCCAGCTCATACCGGTTTGGTTGCAGTAGGACCGGTGGGTTACACATGAGGGCTCGTCCAGGATAGGAGTGAGGTTTAGGGGGCTGAGTGTTATGAAGGCCAGCTTGCGAAGTGCTATGCAGGTAAACCTCACTCCTCTGACCTCTAAAGGTACTCTAGCAACAGACACTACAGGCCATAGTCGTTAGCCTCCTCGTTATAGCAACCGACTCCCATACAATAAATCCCTGGTTCAATCCCAGTTAAGACCAAGTCGGGTGCAGTAGGAGTTACACAAATAAAAAATCGAAATGAAAGATTAATTTGCTGCTCTTTAATCAGAATGTTTAATTATACAGTGAAGAAAAAGTTAATGAGATCTGATAACTTAATTAAATTTTTTAATAATGGCTATACATTTTAATAGTCTAATTGCTCATTTATTTGCATTTTTTTTCTAATGTATATTATTTATTCTATTCTTTGTAAATAATATCATAAATAATAATAAAACATATTACTGACCATTTCAACTGTTTATTTACAATGAAATGATGAACATATTTAGTGATTTGGGGAATCGTTTTTGCGGGGGGGTAGGGGGGATCCCTGATTTTCACATCTCAATGTTGACAGGTTTGGCCCCACCTCTACCCATCATCGTGTTTCAGCTAAAATTATATCAAAGCCGCACATTTTAAGGCACTTCAGGGAACCTTTAGATGACATCCGAGAAACAGATTGTGTATCTGAGTCACGTAGGCTGGCGATAAGTGAGGTCTCACTATCTGTGTCGAAAATAAAGAGTTTGTGGCAATAAGGACCTCCACCGCTGTCAGCGTGGGTGTCTATTTTAAGCATAAGCGTTAAAAATTCTGATGACTTTAGCATGGAGCTGGGCTGACGTGTGCTGTCACTTTAAATATATTTCAGAATAACAAACTGGGCTCTGAGTGCAGGGAGGTGAAGCATCTGCGAGCGTGTTTTCATTACGGATGTGACTGAAGTAGAGGAGGAGTCCGGGACAGCGAGAGGATGCTGAAATGAGCGCTCGCTGCAGGGATGCCACAGCAGTCCACAGCTCAATGATTCATTACAGAGAAGCTCCATCATTATCATTGTCAATCAAAGCGACAAGTGAGCGCTCTGCAAACTAGGTGTTTATTGGTGCTTTTGATGGCATTTATGCAAAGCTGCTTACAGGTTAAAGGAACGGTTTGCCAAAAAATGAAAATTCTGTCAAACATCGCAGTTTAATTTTTGTCACCGACTGAAATGTGGAAGATAATGTCTTGTGGTTTACCTAAAAAATGTAAATTCTGTCATACATGTAACTTACGAAGCGACATCTCATTTTAAACTATGACTCTTATGCAAAACATTATAGTTGAGTCTATACAATAAAATTTCAGTGGGATTCAGTGTGGTTTTTCACTCTATATATTTTCAAAATATGTTCGTACATACAGATTTGAAAGTCAGTAAATTATAGCAGAATTTTGATTTCATTTTCTAGCTAACTTGCACTTTACTTATTTTTTAA